ATAATTGCATATAATTGTACATACTTTGATAATATACTTAATTTATAAATACTTTAAAAATATTTATATTTTTCCACTCACGGTAGTACTATGCTTGCAAAATCAACCCGGTTGAAAAGTTGTTCTAATATTCGTATCGCCGCCTGGAATATGATATAGTTTTTAAATCGACAATTAATTATTTTAAGTAATTTCAATAATTAAATAAGCAATACCCAAATTTAATCATTTCACTTTTAAACGATTTTCACTGTCTCTTTAATCATTAAAACTAATTTTTCTTTCACTTTACTCAATTTCATTATTTATTATACTAAACCTTTTCAATAAAATTGAATTTAGTCTAACAGTCTAACAACAATAAAATCAAACATAATTTAACAATAAGTAACTATTTACTTACCTTTCAAAATTGAGGAATTCAAGCCTAATAGTGTAGAACACTTATTTTCTAACAGCATAGACAAACTTTCCTATTTTTTTCTTCCTTTTTTTTCCTTTCTATTTTCTCTTCCTGCCTTTTTTCTCTTTGTTGTGGGTGTAAAAAATGGATTTTTGTTTGTTTTGTAATGGTTTTAGATTGGATTGATATCAATCCAAACCTCCGTCGCCTTAATCTTTTTCTTTTGTCCCTTTTTTTATATAATAGTATGACATATTTGACTTTTTATTTTGTTTTTCATTTTATTTGTTTTTTTTAAAAACTAAATCAAGGTATTACAACAAGGCCAGTAGCCATGATAATTATCATAATTTTGAATTGTTTGGCATACTGTGCAGACAGTCTTGAGGGCCAAGTAATTGAAATTTGGTCCCTAATGCAAATTCCCAGAGTGTTACGAATATATTTGAAAACGAATATATTTGAAGTCTCAATACCCGATCATCAATCACTGCCCCCACCGGAATATTCTAATCACATTTTGTTTTTACTCCAACCATAAGATGGAATTCACTTACCCCAAATTAAATCATAGGTTCCCACCCTAAAGAGGTGAAATCGTGAAGAAGTTACCGAACTCAATGATAAAATCGACTGTTGGATTTGGGTTGGGAAGAAAGAAAAAAGTGTCGCTTAGTTCGAATTCCACAACCACAAATTAGCCTCCAAATGGGCTCAATTTTGGGGAGGATTCCGATGGGTCATGGGTGATGCTTGCATTAGTACTGTGATGTACTGTATAGTACGAAAAAGGCACAAAGCGGTGCTGATTTTCTTATTTTTGCTCAATATTCATTGGGATTTTGTAATTATTGTAGTCTATTAAACTTACCTATATAATATATATTATTACTTATTTATTAAATTAATAATTACCCTTTGTTCATTCATCTATTTAATATTGTCATATTGTCACATTTTATTCTCGAAAGATATATGACAATTTTTTAAGGTCTTCTTCAGTAGTGATTATGGAAATTGATTTTTTAACCGTTACAGAGAAAAGCGCGTTTCATCTATGACTGAAGAAGTAAAAAATAATCGATTAAATAGTGAAATAACAATCAGAAAAACAATTTTTTAGACTGAAAAATTTCTACTAAATAGGAGCTAAATTTTTAGTAGATTTGTGATCAAAAAATTAATAAAATATATAGCTAAAAATAATTTGAAGAAATAAATTTTAGAAGATAGAGATCTTCATTCAAGATCGTCGCATGAAACCTAACGCTGACTCAAGCCCATTCTATTACCCATTAAAAATGGGAAAAATTCATATCTCATATGTATTCTTTACACCATTTCAAACATCAGGTAAATAGTTTAAAAATTCAAAATTCAGGTATGTATTTAATTAATTAAAAATATTTATAATAAAGTCACAGTTACTCGATTAATTGTCACATATTCATAATTATATGTCACATATTTATTTTTTGGTCACATATCATCAAATTAATTGGTCACAAATTATTTCGAGGTCACAAATAAAAAAATCTGGTATATCACAAATTATTTCGAAATCACAGACAAAAAATTTGCAAGTCACAGATTATTTCGATGTCAAATTAATTGGTCATAGGTTGTCAAAGTCTAAGGTTACTCTTTAACAGTTGGTCATAAATAACTAAATGGTTAGTCACATATGCCAATTTCTTGATCACAAACAATCAAAACACTTATGACCACCACCAACACTCACCACCACCACCACTAGCCGCATTGTCATCAAAACTCCCGCCACCAAAACTAACACCACCTCACCACCAACAAAATAGATACAAAGCCATCACTGCAATGTCGTCATCACTTCACCATCTCCATCACCACTATATCCATCATTTCCAACCATTACTCATTCAAGGCTAGCCCTATCATCTCAAACACGCATATAGCACTCGTTAACCACAATAGTCGCCACTAGATCCACCACATTCAAAACCAAACTAGATTCTTCATAATACACCTGAGTTTTGATAACTCCATGTCAACAAATATGGCCTTAGAGACTGTGTTGGGAATCTACTTATACGTGCACAGTGAAAAATTAAAATTATTTCAATTCCCACAAAGGATCCCTTTGTGTTTAGATAGAAATCGTGATAAAGTTTGTACCTTTGAAGAATTCTGCAAACCTTTTGCTTTTCTTTTCTTCCTGCAATATTGATTCGTTATCCACAGTTGTCCAATTGTCCAGCCTCCAATGATGATCCACATAGAGAATGAGATTGCAGCTACTAGGATTTTCTCCTCTTGTGCTAGCAAGAATAATTATGAGAAAAATCATATGGATTGAAAATCCTAGCCATGTATTTATTTAAGCCCAAACGTGCCCGGTCCGGTCCGGTCCAATATTCAATTAATCCATTTAATTAAATCCGATCCGTGAATTAATTAATTCGGGCCTATAAATAACCAAACCAATTAATTAATTTATCCAACGATTGTTAAATTAATTAATTGACAAATTACAATTTTTCAATTCTCTTTTGTATGCGATCTATGAGGTTCCCGATTACGATGCCTAACGACGTGAAATATTATTTTGATCTAATCAAAATTTGATAAATTAAAATGCCCTTTTAATTTATCATCAATTTACACTCGCCGTCCCAGATTGACATCTAGCAATGTGTCAAGGCAATACATGTGACGGAAAATGTCACGTGGTATGACAAAACCAAACTCATTTGTTTACCATGAAACTATAATTTATTCGTCAATATGATCCGATCAATTACGAGATATGGAAGTGTGTCAATCTCGATTATCGATCATATCTTTCACTCCACTATGAAGTCAATATAAGTCGAAAACTCCTTTTCGACTTATGAGTACACCTTGACCAAGGATTTCATCATCGACTTAATTGAATGAAATGCAGATCATAATCTCCTACTATCTAAGAGTGACGAATCCTTTATTGGTCAATCACAACCTTCGTACGATTTTTGTTGTACCCGAACGATGTCGTATTAACGGCCCTTTGCAGAGCAACATCCAACAATGTCAAAGTACGAGTGTCCTCATATAAGGTATCATGACGACCTCAAATTAAAGGACCAATTCCACTATCGAACGTTAGAGATTAACCACTGACACTCAGATAGTTATCCATATGGAATCTTTCGGTGGGTTTCCAATGTTTTGTTCTATAACAAAACATCCACATTTTTATTTAAGTGTCACCACACTTTAACTTGTGAGATCAGTTACTTACTTCACAAGTAAGAAATGCCACACGTGATGGTCTATCCGTAATAACGATATTCGTATCTCGTTATTACTTACGACCAAGAATAATTTAAGATTCAATCAGATGTAATTTGTATCTCACAATCACAACTCATTGTGATTAACAAATTACGAAGGTTTGAATCTACGGACTCTATTATTTATTTAATTGTCTATTAATTAAATAATAGATATGTCATTAAATTGAATTAATTATATATCAAAAGTATTTATGTCCAAAGTTGATTGGACTTAGGGCATAATACTTACAGACAAGTCGTGCTGTCTCCGTTGGGTTAAGAAGCTCCCACCTAACTTGAAGAATTAAATCAATAATGCCAAAAACGTTGAAGAGAAATGGGGGCCGGTCGGTGCCGTTGCATTGCAGAAAAACGTCAGATAGAAATCGACTGTATCGTGTGTTTAGAGAGAGAAGAGAGAGACGGGAAGAGAGAAAAGAGAGAGACGCGTAGTGGGGTTTAAATTAGGGCTTGAAATTGGTTGGTTTATTTATTAATACCTAAATTGTGAATAATGAAACTTGGCCCCTAATTTTTGAATTTTGATTTTTAAATACTTGGAATTTTGGAACTTCCTCTTAAAAAATTCAAACTGTTTGCCGTTGGAGGCCCAAGTTGTTTAGAAATTAGGAATTACAAAAAATCTCGCTTTGAATGAAACAAAAAAAACCCACCCCGGATGGGTTGACAGGGTAGGGTAGGCATGGATGCTCCGCACGGAATCTGCCACGTGAAGACAAAAAAAAAAGAAAAAAGAAAAGAAAAGAAAATAATAAAAATAATTTTTATTCTAGATAATTTATCCGCTAAAGACCCATTTTAAATTTGTATTTTATTTTTTAAATTATAATATAACTTGAAATTTTGAAAATAAAAAAAATAAAAAAATTAAACGGGTAACAATTCGGACAAAGAGTTGCCCCGCTCAACGAGGCAGGACCCAAGGTGGGGTGGGATTTTGGCGAGATGGGGCGAGGCCAATAGAAACATCTTTCTTGCCCAAATTTTAAGGCTACCAACAACGTAGGTCCAGTAAACCTCAGCTGGTCTCCATCGCACTCGAATACTGCCCCCACTCCCACGGAGCCCCAAAGACCCATTTTAAATTTGTATTTTATTTTTTAAATTATAATATAACTTGAAATTTTGAAAATAAAAAAAATAAAAAAATTAAGCGGGGTAACAATTCGGACAAAGAGTTGCCCCGCTCAACGAGGCAGGACCCAAGGTGGGGTGGGATTTTGGCGAGATGGGGCGAGGCCAATAGAAACATCTTTCTTGCCCAAATTTCAAGGCTACCAACAACGTAGGTCCAGTAAACCTCAGCTGGTCTCCATCGCACTCGAATACTGCCCCCACTCCCACGGAGCCCCAATCCCCCATAGTCACTTTCCCTCCCAATTTCCTCCTTTTTATCTTGAATTTCATAAAAGGCTGGAACAAGAGGTGAAATTCACATTTTTTAACGAAAAGGATATGAAAATGGAAAATGAATCCCAAAATTCCCTCATCCAAGTTAAAGGAATTCCCACCCATGGCGGAAAATACAATCGGTACAACATACTCGGCAATCTCTTTGAAATCCCCTCCAAATACATCCCTCCCGTTAGCCCCGTTGGTCGTGGTGCTTATGGCCTCGTTTGGTAAATTATTAATTATTACTTTATCGTTTGAATCTGATTTCTCGATTTAAATTTAGATGGATCGCATAGTTGGTTTGAGCTTTCTGGGTTAAGATACAATATTCAGTGTTGTGTTTATATTGAAGTCATATAGGAACATTTTTTTTTAACTCTATTGTACTTGTGCCAGTTGTGCGACGAATGCTGAAACTAAGGAAGAGGTGGCTATAAAGAAAATTGGGAGTGCATTTGATAATAGAATTGATGCTAAAAGGACTTTGCGTGAAATTAAGCTTCTTACTCATATGGATCATGAGAATGTAAGGTGTTTTGATTTGTTTCATTGGGTTTCCTTTTGTGCTGTTTTCGTCCTTGTTAATTGTTGAAGATTCTTGATGCATGAGTCTATGAGATACGCTTATGCAGATTATTAAAATAAAAGATATTATACGGCCACCAGAGAAAGAGAAATTCAATGATGTGTATATTGTGTATGAATTGATGGATACGGATCTACATCAGATTATACAGTCATCTCAGGAACTCAGTGAGGATCACTGCCAAGTAAGTTTGCAAAGATGAGTGATAGATTTACTTGTTCGCTAATTGTTTAATCTGCTTATACAATTAATTTTTGCTATGCGGTAGCTATAACTAAGTTACGTAATTTATTTATTTGGATAAGTAAGGATAATTATTAAGAATTTTTTTGCTTGACAGTCATCTTTGAGTTTACCCCGTAAGATCAAAATGAATAGTTTGAGTTTTTTAATGTTTTAATTTGCATATTGGTTTGCTAGTATAAGATGAATGGTTTTGGTATTTCAATAGACGGAAAAGCTGATGATAAGGAAAATGCTTTATGTGACATTTTCTGTATCTTCAAATCTGAAGTTTGGATTTGAAATTTTCAAATCTTGATGAAAGATTAAGACAATAATGACATATAAGACGTAGGTTATTAAACTAGCCACTCAGTTTTATCCATGGTTTCTTTTCCACATCTTTCCTTCAACAAAATGCACCAAGTTAGTTGCAAATTACAACCTTTACTTATCCTCTTCTTCTATTTTATCTTCCAAGTTCTAGACGACGGTAAACGAATTGGAAATTGCATCAGAAACATATTGCCAGGCTGATGAAAGTACAATATGGCTGTCTGGGTCTGTATTTACAATTCCACGTGGCAGGTTCGTTTGGAAGAACGACTTGTCATGTTTTAGGGGTGTTAGGTGAAGGTCTCCTGAAAATGTAGTCAATCAAGTCGTCCTCCCCAGTAATTGATTCACATCAATTTTGTTATATATATATATCCTAGGGAACTCGACACTATAAGTTCATTTGTGCAATATATAGTTGGTTTGATTGGAAACTGCTGCAAATAGATGCGTCGAACTATTCAGTAGCTACTTTCCTCAAAATTGGTTGATCCCCATTTGTTTTATATAGTGACTAATTCGTTCGCTTTGGCATTGTCAAGGGAAGAAAGTGAAATTAGGGGCATTCCCCCCTTGAGAAAACCCTCCTTTGCAGATGATGCATGCTGTTTTTTGTGGACTTGGCAATGGTGTTGCATATATCCTACTAATCCTAGTAGATTCCTATAATTTAGTGCTTGTTTGTGCCCCATTATTTGTGTGTAATGTATTATGGAATAGTGATTGATGTTGATATGTGTGGTTAAAAAAGAAAGAATAGTTTTTGATTTACGTGTAATATTATTTTAATGAAGAATGTGTGGTTGAAAATGAGTACTGAAGAAAAAATAATGTGGTAAAATGTGGAAGAAAGGAAGACAAAGCAAGCCTTAAAATGGTCCAATGTGTTGGCATACTATTCATCTTTTTTATGTGGATGCCAATGTGGCAAGTACCTCAATGAGAAGAGAAGCTGAAGAAGAAGCTGAGAAGAGGAAGTTGCGCCTAGGCGCTGTCGGCGTTGCCCAGTTTCTGCAGAGGCGCCTACCTAGGAGCCCCGAATGTGAAAACCGGCAGAAACATGGCGCCTCGGTATATATATAGGCTTCCAATTTTTTGCCTCTTTATCATAAGATAACCCTTGAGCCCGATTTTAGAGAGAAAATTGAGAGAAAACTTGGAGAGAATTTTACAAGATAGAAGGTTGTTCATCTTGGGTATAAATTCAAAGTTATTTTCTTTCTTGGGGATTAACTTGAGGCTTGTTCAAGTAATCCAAATACATTGTTCTTCATATATTCCATTGAAATCATTTCTTCCTCATTTTCTTGTTCTTGAAGTGGTTTGGATTTTTTTCACATTGTCAAGCATTGTTTGATCTTGGGCAATCTTTGGGAGGTGTTTTCCCAACAATTTGGTATCAGAGCTTCATCCTAAATCAAGGTGATTAAGCTTCGATTTTTGGTGAGTTGCTTGAACTTTGTTATGCACACAAGGTGTTTGTGAAAATTTTCAAGTGAACTTTTGTGGTTTATCTTCGGTAAACAAGTGAATAAATCATGTCTACTAGAGGAATGGTGAAGATTGGGAAGTATGAGATAGAGAAATTTAATGGGAAGAATGATTTTTCATATTGGAGAATGCAAATGAAAAATTTGTTGATTTCTCAAAAGTTGCATAAGGCATTGGCGGGAAAGGATAAGAAGCACATTGATATGTCAGACGAGGATCGGGAAGAGCTAGATCTTGAGGCACGAGCGTCTATCATTCTTTGCCTTGAAAGAGATGTTGCTTTCTTGGTTGATAGTGAGGTCACGGCGGTGGAGGTGTGGACAAAGTTGGAGGCGAACTTCATGACGAAGACTCTAACAAATAAGATCTATTTGAAGTCCAAATTGTATACTTGCAAGATGGATGAAGGTACACCAATTCGGGAGTACGTCAACAAGTTTGATAGGATCATATCGGACTTGAATGACATTGATGTGGAAGTAGATGATGAGGATCAAGCACTTCTACTACTTCTTTCATTGCCAAAGTCTTACGAGAACCTAGTACAAATATTGATGCTTGTGGGTGATAAACTTGTGATGGAGGACACTAGAACGTCACTTCTAGCGGATGATCTTCGAAAGATTGCAACTAGTGGCATGTCTACCATTGGTAACAAGGAGCAAGCTCAATGATTGTTTGTAAGGGGTAGAAGCAATGTGCGACCAAAGGGTAAGGGAGAAAAATCTAGATCGAATTCTAGACCTCTTGCGGAAAGGTCTTGTTTCAAATGCGGCGAGTTTGGGCATTTCAAGGCGAATTGTCCTAACAAAAAGGGTTGGAAGAAGAACAGTAAGAACAATAACAACGGGAAGGTGCAAGTCAAGTAAGAGGTAAGCTATGCCTTGGAAGGAGGGGAAAGCGATGAGTGCTACGCCATCTCTTGTGATGAAGAAACCTCCGATAAGTGGATTCTTGATTCTGGATGCTCCTACCATATGTGTCCAAATAGGAAGTTGTTTACTACCTATAAAAGCACTGATGGTGGAACCGTGTTGATGGGTAATAACCATTCCTGTAAAACGGTGGGGCTTGGTTCAATTAGAATCAAGATGCATGATGGAGTGGTTAGAACATTGATGGATGTTAGACATGTTCCTGGTTTGCGAAAGAACCTTATCTCTGTTGGTGCCTTAGACTCCGGTGGTTGCAAGATTGTAGCATGGAATAGAGTAAAGAAGGTTGTTCTTGGTTCTTTGATTGTGATGAAGGGTATTCGTGAAGACAATCTATATGTTCTTCAGGGTACTACAGTTACAAAAGATGTAGCAGTTGGAACAAGTGGAAGTGGTGGAGACCCATGTGAGTTTACTCGGCTATGGCATAGGAGGCTTGGGCATATGTCTGAAAAGGGGCTTGATTTGCTAGTCAAGAAAGGTTTGCTAAAGAACTTGAAGAAGCTTTGCATGGATTTTTGCGAGCATTGCGTGTACGGTAAAGCACACCGAGTTCAGTTCCAG